CCCGATTTTACTGCATGCGTCGCTCCTTTTCTTCTTAGGTGGCCTGGTTGCATTCCTCATTCCGGTAAATCTCACCATGACGTGGGTTGCGGCCGCCCTTCTTTCCATTATCGCTGCGGTATATGTCGTCCTCACCTTCCTTCTATTGCGGTACCTGGATTGCCCGTACCGCACACCGCTTTCGGTTACCACTTGGCAGGTTCTGAAAACTTTCAAGAGGACCTGGCCGCTGGTATCCGAGACTGTTTGGCGGGTTTTTAACGCTCTCAAACAGATTTGGCCTGCCTCCTATTCCGACCCTGACCTCGATGCGCGGCCCGCAGAGTGGGGGGTGAAACACCAGGTGCATTCCTCCTGGTCCGACGACACAATAGTTCAAGCAATTTTTTGTGCTGCCCTGGACCCCCAGGGGCGGTCAGAGAGAGATTACAGGGCTTTGGTCTGGACTATGAAGTCCCTGGCCGATGAAGCTGAATTGGAACCATTCGTGGAGGCGATTCCTGATCTCTTGTCAACACCGAATGGCGAGTGCCGCCGCGGATACAGCAGGCACATCCTAGATCTGGTGCACAATCCTGATATTCGGTTGGACAACCGTATCGCAGCTCTCTTGGATAGCTGCCACACGGGTGTCCTGTCTGCAGATGACAGTAAACGCCGTCTCATTATTTGCTACAAAGCCTTCTGGGCCATTGCAATTCTTTCATCCGATCCCGCTCAGTCCTTTACTGGGTCGAATGCTGCTGTGGATTTCTCACACATCTATCGGCGCCCTACATTCGAATCCTCCGTGTCAAATCCAGACATTGCCCCCTACCTCACCTCTGCCAAGGCTGTGATGTGCCGGAGCACATTCTGTGCCCTGGGTGGGAGTTTTGTGGCACAGAAAACTCCAGCCGTCACCAATCATGACTTGAGCCAAGTGAAATCTTCCTTGGAAGACATGTATGCGGGATTTTTCCCATCGCGCGATGTGCTGGCACTTCCGCAATCAAAACTGCAACGCTGTCGGGAGATGTCCGAGAGGCTTTCTCGTGTCCCTCCCAAGATTCTGTTCAACTACCTTGGCGACTCCGCCCACTTAAATTTCCCTCCATACCAGTGGGAACGTACACAGTCTGTGATTTCGCAGTGGGCTACTTCGGAACATCTCTATTCCCCCGGATACGCACTCGAAGAATGCCTTGAAATTATCATAAACGCCTGGCAACAGGGATCAGTCACTGCTCCCGACACCTCTAAAAAGCCCTGGATCAATACAGGCATCGTATTGACATTGCTGCGCTTTTGGTGCACCGAAAAACCGACCCGCATTCCGAGTTCTATCGTCCAATTGTTGAACCACTCACCTGGTTTTGATTTCCACACCCCTGATATCCAATTTGGGATCATGATCGTCGCCCACCTATGGTCTAGCTTTTTGGCAACTCTCACCTTTCGCAATCCATTCCCGAATCCATTGGCCACACGAGCCACACTGACTGCTTTATGGAATCTAGCTTCCCTTCATAGGACGGGGCTGGAAACCTGTGTATGTGTCCTGGAAGCACTGGATCCCGACTCCTCTTTCACTGAGATATCAACCTCTATCACCGCCCTCATCAGAAGGAATCTTCTGAATGAAATTTCCCGCCATGATGGCAGGCCCACAGAAAAATTATTAAATGCTGCACATCACATATTTCCCCGGCAAAACACAATACAAATCCCGGGTGAATCCGACGACATTTTAGCTTTGGAAATAGTACAAACATGGGTGGAGGAGGCTACATTAACTGCTCTTGTGGAATTCCTCGAACTCTGCAGCTCGGATCCTTTGCCATATAGGGCAGCTGAAACCCTCCGCAAAATCGCCATTTCATCTGTCCGTGCAACCATCCCCGCCTCCATTCAGATCCGGTTGGCAAACAGCATACAGAACATCTATACTCGCGGCCTTCAGGAGCTGATGAACGAGATCTTGAAGTATAAGCTCTGGGACATCTATCCCAAGGCGTGGGTACGGGTTCTCTGGCTAGATGATCCGGTTGCTCGAGACAAAATCAAAGCGGTTTTTACAGATTATCTCACAGAATTGCAATCTACAGGCTCACTTCCTGCCATCCTGTACCGTCTGCAAGACGTGTTGCGGAGCCTAGACTTTGTGCAGGCTCAATACCAAGAGCCAGGATCGGCGAATATCCTCGGCAGTACACCTGGGGTGGCAGAGGCGTCCTCGGCCCCGAGGGCCAATGACAGAGCAGAGGGCTCGAATACCAGACGGATCGAAGCTGAAGATATTAGCCCGGGCGAAAATGTCTAGCTACAAAATATTATTGAGGATTGAGAAAGATTAACGACACATTGGTCAAGAATATTCAGAGTCAGATTACTCGTATCTTAAGCAGATGCCTTGTATCACATTGTACCTGTTTGCAGTGTTCCGAATATACCCCTTTGTGGCGCTTTTCCTCTGTCATGCCTCGTCTGACCAAGACCCTAGCTATGATTAGTTCTGCGACCATGAATAGCAATAAGATGTCTTTGCGTACACCCACTCAGTGAACAAGTTAAAATGAGTCTAGCTATGGGGCTCAGTGTGGCCTGATTATTTGATGGCAGTGAGGACTGAACCGAGCTTCACCGGCAGTTCAGCGTTCAAACATATTAAGCCCAAATTTCAAGGTGTGAACCAGCGAAACTAAACACACAAGTAGCGACAGAGAACCCATACTGTATTATTTTAATCAATTCGACCATCATGCGTCACGCACCCCCTGATCGGTGTCGCTTTGGTGCAGTGTCCTGTATCATGCCCCCGGTGGTCGAATGAACAATCTGTCATGCAGGGTGCAAAATTGCCTGCACGGCACATTAAATTAAAATTTTTCGTTTCTGTGGTCGGAATTTTTGTTTGTGTCACGTGAATTTAATGGTCGAATTGGTATTTTGGGTCACGTGTCATGCCCCTGGTTAAATTGAATGAAATAATACAGTAGTCAGACTCTCAGAGGAGTTCCAGTCATCTTGGTCCAGTCCAAAAGAATTGTGGAGGAGTTTGAATCAAACTCTATCAACCTACAGACTCATTCGATCTAGAGGAGACCCTGCCGAACTGCGCCGGAGCAGGAAGGGCAGGATAATATAAGCTTCAAACTGAACAAACCCACGAACCCATCAGAAAATCATGGAACTCAAATATTTCAAGCTTGTGGTTCAAACATCACCTCCGAGTCTGCAAAATGTCTTCTCACAGTTCAACACTGCCTCATGATTCTGTCTCGCATTTCCAGTGCTTTTCAGTGCCACGGTTTGGAACTTGGTGGAGCTATCATTCAAGTTCCTCACGTCTCGGTTGACTGATTATACGAGGGGGTTCCCGAACTCAAATATATTCATTCTCGGGGTATTACATTCGTGCAATACCAACACTCATCTTACACGTGTTACGACCTGTGCTAGTAACTCGGGTATACCCCGTTTCCTTCACAGCTTCCTAGCAGAGCTCCTTGCTGAACCTCTCAATCACTTTTGAACAAAAATTATCCTTAGCCAGAACCGGAGTCTTGGGTCGGAGCGAAGCCAGTATGTCATGTATGACATTTGAGATGGTCCGCCACTGTAAACCTCAACCGCATCAGCAAAAAAATATAACGAACCATTACATACACGCACTCCGAGGATGAGCATACCAAAGGAATACACGTCGCTCTTCATCGTCGCTTTGGCGATGGGCAGTTCGTATGCGCTTGGGACGAGCCGTTCGGGCACCATCCATTTGGAGGTTCTGCCCCCGGTGGATGAAACACCGGATAAGACTGTGACAGTCAACGTAGAGATCGATGTGGCGGAATGGGACAGTTGACCAGCTCGCAATGCTTCACAACATTGATCGCAAGGGCAAAGGGATCTCCGACGACGTGTGACGCCTCCATTGGATTTTCGGGTTGAATGAATGATAATCCGAAATCTGCGATCACTGCCTTGCCATCATCGTCGATCAGGATACTTGGGGTGTGGGGCCGTGGCAGGGCCCGGCAGAAACTTCGTACTTATGTAGTCCTACTCAGTATATCAATACATACAATGTACCGAAGCAGTACCAAGCATCTGATGGAATGACAATGATAATTACATGGTCAAAAAGACCAAGAAAAATCTGACAGAGTGGAAAGAAAACAAAAAAGAATGCAGATGGAAGGGATCAATCTCATGCCCTACAGATTCCCTGAGGGAATGTTGGCAAAGACATAGCCAACAATACTGCCCGCACTTGAACTGCCGGTGTGTGCCGTCAGAGTTTGAAAACATCTTTGATGCATCGTTGCTTGAGTCTGAGATAAATTTGATTACAGCAAACAATTGCACAAGGATAACCAACAATAACAATATTATGTAGGAACTTTCTACATTATTAACAGATAACAGCACTCAAGTGGCAGAGAGGCCATGGAGTAATTCAGATTCTACTTGCTGGCAGATGCATGGGAGTTGGTACATAGATATATATTGGTTCAAGATGAAAAAGAAAACATGTGGTGCATCAAATGAAGTTCAGCTCACATAAAAAAACATTAGCTATGAAGCAGGATAGCCATGTGAGATAAATGGCGACGAAAGGTTTCAAAAAGGTTCAAAAATAAAAGGATGCATAACGGAGGGTTCGAACGGGTTGAAGTGTTGTGTTACAAAGGTTTAGCATTTGCGAAACTGGAACCGACTGGTTCTGCCAACCAAACACGAACAAAGATGCCGGCTCGATCATGGCTGATGCCGGTCCCCAGGACTCAATGAGCGAGATGAAAAAGAGGCGTGACACGCAAGTTTCCGATAAACCCGAACTCGACTCGAACGAGCGGAACCCGGATTAATATCAAGCAAGACATACACTCCGCATCTCCAACCCCCCCGCCGGGCCTTGATTTCATAGTCGCATTGAACCCAGATTATCAGCAGAATTCCAACGGAACTCACCATTGAATATAGAATCTAGTCAAATAAAAACGTGAGAAGAGGATCAATGGCCTGAGCTCGGATCGAACGAGCGATGTCCTACGCACAACTGATGATCTACAGCATCGAGTGTAGGTGTGGAAACCATCCACCACCAGGCCTTCATTTTATACCTATGTACGCACTTGAATGCATGAGGCATGAATGAATGTCAAAGGCGTAGAATTTGAAACCAAAAAAAACGAGCGGAGCCTGCATAAGAAACATTATCCTAACACGCTGCACATCCGTCACCAGGCCTTGTTTCAAACTTGTAAATCTCGTGAGATGGCGTTTGACGCGCAATGTACCTACTACCTAAAGTAAATACCAGGCGATCTTTCGGGGCCTGAATCTGAATATATCAGCATACTGATTCGAGTCATGAATGAACCTTGTCAAATAAAAACAAGAAGGCCCCGGGTTCGATTAGTCGAATGAGTGAAATGTTGCAACAAAATCACAGAGTCCAGGTGCGGACCCTCCGCTTCCGGGCCTTCTTTCTGGGACCAAGGGCATAGATATACGAGCATTCGAATTTAAATCACTCACGCAGAACAATGTCGCTAGCCACCAAGGATATTCGGAGCCTTTGAGAACTTTTTTCTTTCTTGGGAACTGTGAGGCAGTGTGCTCAACGGGGTACCTCCGCCGGATGACGTGCCACCGCACTCACTCTTGACTTCTTCTGACTCACGGACCTGCAGGTCAATGAACGGAATGTAACCAAAAAAGTCCTCGATAATACTCATGGCCTGGGCTCGAGTCGAACGAGCGCTTCCCGCAGAGAATTAATACAATGCCGATTGAATGCAGGTGCAGAACCCCCCGCTGCCAGGCCTTGTTTCAACACCGGTTGTTTCAACACCGGTTGTTTCAACACCGGTTGTTTCAACACCGGTGAACCTCGTTAGATCATGGAATTTGAAGTCTTGACGACTGACCCAGAAAACTATAACGGCACTCAGGCTCGGAAATATGTGAGACCGACCAGCTGAGTACCAACCGCGACTTCCGGGATCTGCTTCCTCTGTATATGGTTCACTGGCAGCGGGATGAGTTTAGGAGAGGGTCGACAGGACAGAGATGGCGATGCGTGGCGATGTGTTCTCGATTTCGGAGGAGTGCAGGGGAAATTATTCGTCGTGGGAATCGCTGAAGAGCAGCGTCCCTCAATCGCAAGAACTCACCAACGCACACTGTAACACTCCCAGCCAGTAAATAGCCGAGTACCCCGCGCGCATTCTAGTCGCTGCCGTGGTCGTGCCCGTCTCGGGTCGAGAGCAAAAAATGAATCACACCCGCCCGAGTGGGTGGGAAGCGCGGGGGCGGGGCCAAGGACGAAGGGCAGAGGCTGTGCGTTTCGGGTCGGTCATCAGGTGTCGTGAGGCACGAACGTCGCAGGCGGCACACCCGCCCGAGTCCGGTTCGAGTGAAGCACCTCGTCCTCACCCGCGTCCTCGTCATGCGCTGTAGTCTCCGGAGCGTCGGTGGCGGAGGAGCGGCGCGCGCCGTGATTAAATGCGAGTGGAAGCGCGGATACGTCCTCGTCGAGGTGACAACGGAGATGAAAGGCGCACAATCTCTGACATCGTGGTTCGGCAGGTTAGTAGAGACTAGAAAGAGAGCGAGCGAGTCGCGATGAACGGAAAGGAAAGGTTAGGGCTGGCACACGTGTACCGGCTCCCGGTCCGCACTTCCGCACCTCTCTCTCTCTCTATCTTGCGTCCATCACGACCCGTCCTTCATCTTCCCCGAACGCCGCACGTCCTTTGCCGTTCGCTCAAGGTGTAAGGCGGTTTCCGCTCTGAGACTGCGTGCAACATGGTTTCTGATTCTGCAAGGCCACACTCGTCATCTTTTCAGTCAAGTACTTAGTATTTCGCTTCCAGTGTATCATAACTTAATCGAGTTCACAGGGATATAAAGAACACCCGGTGGCGGTGGACCACACCTGCATCACATAGTAAATGCGTTTTGATCAGTCAATGCAGGCTCCGCTCTTTCGATTCGAGCCCCGGCCATGGCCCTGGGGCCTGGACCATATCTTGTGGTGAAGAGCATTTTTTTTCATCCCGTTCATCGGTGACTTCCCTAACATATTTAAATTTTGGAGGGAAAAACGAACGTCTGTGGCTGGTTTCCGACCTGTCCTCGATTGGGTGGATCATAACCCATGGTCCGCGGACGTCGCTCGCTCGAATTCGATTCAACGCCCTTCTTTATAATAAGATTCAATATTAGTGGGTGAGTTCGTTTGACATGCTGATCTATCCGAGCTGACGACTAAGAAATCAAGGCCCGGTAGTGGATGGTTCCACACCTGCATTCAATCAAAGGCCCGTACAATCTTCTGCAGAAAGTGCGCGTTCGACTCGAGCCCGTGCCATGCTGTAGTGTGTGAAGAGCTCTTTTTTCATCCTCTTCACATCCAGCGGTGACTCCGCTAGGTATTTAAATACGCAGATATCGGTTTCCGCACTTGTCCTTTCCATTAACCATGATGTTAACCTCCTTCTGTCCGCAAGACATCGCGCTCTCGAATTCGAGTCGAACCCAGGTCATATGCATCCCTCTTCCTCTCTCTCTTTATTGAATACGATTTAATGGCGAGATCAATTTCAGTGTTGATCTATCCAATCTCGCAAATACGAAGTCAAGGCCCGGTAGCGGACGGTTCCGCACCTCTACTCTGTGATTTTGCGGTACGCATTCCTGCAGGAGGTCGCTCATTCGACTCGAGCCCAGGCCATAATTTCTACTCGTGCTGTTTTTACTTGTCAAGGTTCATGCATGATTTGAATTCCCATGCTCATATAGTTAGATTCGTAGGTACCGAAAGGAGGCCCGGTAGCGGGACTCCGCACCTGCAACAGAGTTGCCACGCATGAGTCAATGGCTTCTACAGGAATCGCTCGTTCGATTCGAGCCCGGGCCATGGGCCATCGCCGGCAACATTTCCATTATTTTTAGATCTCGCAACAACTTTCCCCTCCCATTGCGCGGTGAGCCCCCTTATCGGTGTCTTCCTTACTCCTGGTTCTTAACGCTGACATGGATGACAGGGAAATACATGAGATCATTTCGTGTTGTACGGATCACCCTTTCCACTGAACGGCAAGTTCAAATTGAATTCAGATTTATTCAAGTTCGCGACTACGAAATAAAGGCCTGGTAGCGGACGATTTCCGCACCTGCACTCGATATCTCGGTACAATGTGGGTATGGAAGTTTCCGCAGGATCGCTCGTTCGATTCGAGCCCGGGCCATGGGCTGCGCGCTGTGAGGTTTTTTTTTTTTTTTTTTTTCATTCCATTCGTTGATGACTCCCGCAGCACATTTAGGTTTTGGAAGAGGAAATAAAGGCCTGGTAGCGGATGGTTTCCACACCTGGTGAACCATTATGTCCGCCTCTTCATCCACAGGCAATCGCTCGTTCGATTCGAGCCCAGGCCATCGTTGCTCTTTCTCTATCTTTTTAATTGGACACGATTTAATGATGAGGTTAATTTAAATGCTGATTTATTTAAGCTACCGACGACGAAATCAAGGCCCGGTAGCGGTCGGTCCGCACCTCTACTCTGTGATGGTGGTTTGCATTCTTGCAGGAGGTCGCTCGTTCGACTCGGGCCCAGGCCATCGATCTCTTCCATCTTTTTCCTCCCTGCACTGACGGGTGAGTTGTTTCAGTTCGAATGTGCATACTGTATTTTTTCATTCAATTCGACAAGGGGTGTGACGTGTGACATCTGGAACATATTCGACATGTCGATAGGGCCCAGGTTGGACCGTGACACCCTCAAAAAATTCGACACCATCCCAAATGGATGCAGGGGCATCCTAAAATCGTCTGAGATTTTCTGCGAAAGCACAGAGAGCCAGGCAAATTTCGGTTTGAAATAATTGCCTCAGGATGGTTTTCACGGCTTGTGTTGAATTCGGGCCTAGTTTAGGACAATACAAAGCTAAAAATTAATTGAAGGCTCTGGACAGGCCTCAGGAAGGGCTGAAAATTATATCCACGAGTTTTGGAGGTCAAGAGCAGTATTTTATTATTTTGTGAACCATGGAACCTATTCGACACCTACCCCTGTGACGCGTGACAAAGAACCAAAGTTCGTATTCGACAACCCCCCCTGTGACGCGTGACTGTCGAATTGAATGAAAAAATACAGTACATTTAGGTTTGTAGGTCCCAGAAAGAAGGCCTGGTAGTGGATGGTTCTGCGCCTGCACCGAATGGAAGACAATACGCGATACACGAAGTTCTGCGGAGCGCTCGTTCAATTCAAGCCCGGGCCATGCATCTGTTTCGCCTGTTTTTTTCTCTGACACGATTCACGGGTGAGTGGTTTCCATTCGAATGCACATATATCTATGCCCCCGGTACCAACAAGATCTTGACGGCCTGGTAGCAGATGTTCATTCATACGAGGCGTTCGCTCGCTCGACTTTATATGGACTATTTTGCGGCTTTTTATTACTATCAATGACCGGGTACTGGGCCACCTTAGGATTTATCACTGGTTCTCGAGAGCCATAGTGTCCATATACAATCAACTGTTTGGTGGAATGAAGGCAGGTATCCTGCGAATGGTTCGAGACCATATCCGCGAATTTACATGGGGTATTGATTGACCAGTGAATTTCTTTCCGCCGGTACCCCCAACAGATGCAAATACTAGCTAGAGGGCCTCCCGTCAAAATTGAGTTCCGCAGGTTCAAACTGGCGGCCTTATTGTTCAGGAATGGTACAGGGAGTTACTAGGGAGGATTCTGTGTAGTTACGGTATACATAGAAGCAATGAGACGGCGAAAGAAAAATGCCTGAGATGGCAGCGGAAACGGCGGAATAGCAGATTCCGGACTACCCAGGCGCCTCGTCGGGACTAGCAGCTGTGACGGCCCAAAATCAGAAACATGCTGTTTCATATGAAGCATTCCGACATACCAGGACCCCCACCCTCATTTCGAGATGTCTCTAGCTCCCAAAGAAAATTCAAATGTCTCGGGCACCGAATTTGGGTGGTTTGGGATAAAGGACAGCAGTGAGAAGGGAATTGAGGGAAAAAAAAGTTGGAAGACACACCAAGCTGGAGTATGCCCAATTGCAAAAACCCTT